AATAATAATAATAATAAATAAATAATAAGGTGGAGAAGCATTGTTTTATATCTTTGTTAACATAGAAACAGCTCTAACCATAGATCAGCTTAATTTGTTTTTAAGTGATACATGATAAAAATTAAGTGACACTCCTGGCAACATTGTGAGAAGAGACAGTGGCTTTGAGTGAAATAACTACGCCATGGCTAGATCTCACTCAAACTATGGAACAATTTCAAGAATCATGAATATACTCCAGAGTTTTATAAAACAGACATTTCATAGGACAAGTATATAGGGGAAGCCTTCTTTTTGGGCGGATCTTCGTATTTTAATAAGAGGCAGCCCTAACTTCATTATTTGCAGCATTACTTACCGTTGCATGAAGTTTCTGTGCTACTTTGACTTCCCCACTGCTTTGATATCCAGTCTCTGTATGTTGCCACTTCTTGCGTTACTCGAATTATTCTTCCCAATATACTGTAAGAGTTTTAAAATAGAGAAAAGATTATTGGGTTTTAAAAGGAGCAAAAAAGATGACGCCGGGAATGAGTCAATTTGGAGGATTAGTTTTTACCTTTCACTTTCGTTGTTGGGGTAATATTTCGCTATTGGTGATACTGCATGGCTCAGAACGACATATGCATAATCAAAGGCCTGTTTAACTTGCATGGCACCATAAGAACTCCTTCCGACATCATTACCTGAAAGAGGGAGAAAAAGCCAAAGTGGTCATAAAAGGAAAGCAATGTCTATGAATAAGCGTTCCTGCTAAACACCTCCATATCTAGCTATAAATAATGCAAAGATAACACAATAATGCAAGAATAACACAATAATAATAATAATAATAATAATAATAATAATAATAATATTTATTTAAACCCCGCCATCATCTCCCCGCCGACTTGAGGCGGCTAACATGAGGCCAAGCCCAAAAATACAGCAAAGTTAGACAAAACAACAGTAAAATTACATCACAGCAACAAAAAAGTAACAAAATAAAATAACACAAGCTTAGTGTATGTRTGTGTGTGTGTGTGTGTGTGTGTGTAAATGTATATGTGTAACACACACACACACGCACRCACACACACACACACACACACACACACACAAGCTTGGGTACYCAGCATTGCCAGAGTTATTTGAAAAAGYCAGTTTTTAACTGCACAACATTCTTGAAGTTGTGGGTGAACTACAACTCACATCATGCCAGGTCAACCCATCAGTACTTAAAGTTTGTGATGTTGGGCAAGTTTGCTCTAGATGCATCATCGATGGGGTTCAGTGTGCTCTATGACTGTAGGGTAAACTACAACTCCCATTATGATGAATGAGTCCCCTCAAACCCCTCCAGTAGGTTGAGTTAGTCATGGGGGTTCTAAGTGCCAAGTTTGCTCCAGGTCCAACATTGGTGGAGGTTACAGTTTCTCTGGTTATCGGTGAACTACAACTCCCAGAAAAGAAGGTCAGTTCCCCCCAAACTTCTCCAGTAATCAAATTTTGGCATATCAGGTATGTGTACCAGGTTTGGTCCAGATCCACTGTTTATTTATTTATTTACTATATTTGTATACCACTCTTCTCAACCCTCAGGYGACCCATCATTCTTTGGGTTCACAGTKCTCTCTGGATGTAGGTGAACTTTCCCCAAAGACATCCAGTATTTTTTGCTGGCCATGGGGGCTCTGTGTGCCCAGTTTGGTCCAATTCCATCTTTGGTGGAGTTCAGAGCGCTCACTGATTTCAGGTGAATTATAAATCCTAGTACCTACAATTCCAAAACGTCCAATCCAATTTCCGTCAAAACATACCAGTATTCAAATTTAGGCCTATCTGGTTTGCATGCCAAGTTTGGWCCAGATCCATCATTGTTTAGGTTCATAGTGCGCTYTGCATATAGGTGAACTATAACTCCTATAAATCCCYCCAAAGACCTCCAGTATTTTTTTTTTTTTTTTGCTAATCATGGGGGCTCTGTGTGCCAAGTTAGTCCAGGTCCATTGTTGGTGGGGTTCAGAGTGCTCTTACGATTGCAGGTGAACTATACATCCCAGTATCTACAACTCCTATAAATCATGGTGTATTCCCCCTAAACCTCTCTGGTATGTTCAGTTGCTGAACAATTCCTCTGTTTGTTGTGTGCCATAGGAAAGAATAGGAAAGGGTTAAGGGAGAGGCAGTGGGCGCTTGTATATGTTCATGGAACTCATAAACATATGAGTTCATGAGTACCATGTATATGTTAATGGTACTCATGAACATATACAAGAGGGGCATTGGTGTCTTCTGAGTAATGGGAGCTACAGCTGTTTGTGGAGACGTGGAGGTGGTGGCTGGGGTGATTCAAGTGATTATTCAATGAATACCAGTATGTATTAATTAAACATTCAGGTAATGTCTGCAAAAAGAAAGAGCAGCCCACAAACCATTGGTTTTAGTGATCCGTAACGACAGAAAGAATGAAGCTATGGCACACTAAACTGTATTGGTAAACAGACACAAGATGCCTTAGTAACGTCACATCTGGGTTGCTGCAGTATGTTCTAGTTGGAGCCGAAGGGAGCTCCAATTAGTCTAAAATGCGGTGGCCAGATTGCTAATTGGAATCATGTTGCGCCCTTTGCTGAAACAGCTGCACCTTTTTTTGGTCTTCAATTTGAAATCCGCCAACAATCTTCAAAGTTGAGGAGAAAGAATGAAATTCTTCAGAATGAAACTGACCACCTCAAGAAAGCTATGGACACATAGGACCACGGAGTGGCCTTCTTAATGCTTATGAATAATACCGAAGCACTGTGGGCTATATTCTAGAGCAATGTTTCTCAATCTGGGGGTCGGGACCCCGGGGGGGGGGGGGTCACAAGAGAGTTTCAGAGGGGTCGCCAAAGACCATTAGAAAACACATATTTCTGATGGTCTTATGAATCCCTTTGGCATAGTCATTTGGGTTCACAGTGCTCTCTAGATGTAGGTGAACTACATCTCCCCTAAATCACTGTCAGTTCATCCCTKATCCCTCCAGTATTTTCTGTCAGTTATGGGGATACTGTGTGGGAAGTTTGGCCCAATTCTATCGTTGATGTGATTCAGAGCACTCTTTGATTGTAGGTGAACTATAAATCCCAGTAACTAGTCAAGGTCTATTTTCCCTAAACTCCACCAGTTTTCACATTTGGGCATACTGGGTATTCGTGCCAAGTTTGGTCCAGTTCCATCATTGTTTGAGTCCACAGTGTTCTCTGGATTTAGGCAAACTACAACTCCAAAACTCAAGATCAATACCCACCAAACCCTTCCAGTATTTTCTGTTGGTCATGGGAGTTCTGTGTGCCAAGTTTGGTTCAATTCCATCGTTGGTGGAGTTCAGAATACTCTTTGATTGTAGGTGAACTATAAATCCCAGCAACTACAACCCCCCCCCCCCAAACCCACCAGTATTCAAATATGGGCTTTTGGGGGTATTTGTCCTAAATTTGGTCCAGTGAATGGAAATACATCCTGAATATCAGATATTTACATCACAATTCATAACACTAACAAAATTACAGTTAGGAAGTAGCAACGAAAGTAATTTTATGGTTGGGGGGCACCARAACATGAGGAATTGTATTAAGGGGTCGCAGCATTAGGAACGTTGAGAACCACTGTTCTAGAGRAGTATTTCTCAACCTTCCTAATGCCTCATGCTGTGGTGACTCCCAACCATAAAATTATTTTTATTTGCTATTTCATAACTGTAATTCATACTGTTATGAATCGTAATGTAAATATCCGACATGCAGGATGTATTTTCATTCACTGGACCAAATTTGGCACAAATACACAATAAGTCCAAATTTCAATACTGGTGGGGTTGGGGGGAATTGATTTTGTAATTCTTTTTCGTCATTCCTTTTTATCACACAAAGCCTCCATGTCTTGACAGGACTTGCTGTAGCAAGCCTCCCTCCAGCCTTGTACGCTCTCTCTTGCCTGCACATGCGCACCATGTTGCCATGCGCTGAGCACACCTGCTCCCCCTCCCCATTTGGGAGTCTCAGAAACAGCGCTCRCCRTGGCTGAGGGACCAGCTGAAAGGCCGACCAATCACAGTGGAGGAGGACGTGGTGTGAGGATTCGCTGTCTTTTTCCAAAAAGGAAGAGAAGGACAGACGGAGAGATCTTCAGCCTTCTCTGTCAAAGGGGTTCCTAAGACCATCAGAAATACATGTTTTCTGTTGGTCTTTGGCCACTCCTTTGAAACCCCCTCCTGACCCCCAGGTTGAGAAACGCTGGTCTAAAGGAAGACAATGGCAAAACCACCTCTGAAGATTCCCGACTTAAGAAAATCCTATGAAATTCATGGAGTTGCCCCAATATGTCAAAAACGAACAGACAAAAAGCTCTTCCTTTCAATGAGAGATTTTGTAGGGCAACTTTGCTTATAATGGGTTATTGTGTGTTTTCTGGGCTGTGTGGCCATATTCCAGAAGCATTCTCTCCTGACAGTTCGCCTGCATCTATGGCAGGCATCCTCAGAGGTTGTGAGCCTTCCTGTGGGGTTACTTTACAGGTGATACTTTATCTTCTGCACTATTGTATTCTAAAACAAAACCTTGAATTGTTCTGAGTATTTTGATATTTTGATATTTATGTTCTGCTCTGTTCCTTTTATTGTGGTCTGCAGACTAGAATTAAAAGCAGCCAGAGACACGTTTACAAAACAGAATATAACAGCGTAAGTGCCACCTACTCTTAGTCTAGTTTCTTTTTTTTACTTAACATTTCAATTTCTCTTTCTTGTGGTTGTCGCACTTTGTAGGAGAGGCAAAGATACACCTTCTTTAAGCTAAACAAGATGGAGATGAGACTGCCACTTTATGGCTGATATAACTATACATCACACACAAAGGGTATTCATTATTCATTAAAAAGGAACTGATCTTACAGTATTTTCCAACTACCATTTCCTTAAATGTAACGTAATATACAAAGGAAGATATTTAGCAATTTTGACTGTTATTCCGCGTAACATCTTATGACACTGTAATACCTGGTTGCAATGGGTCTTCAATATACAGCATGGACGGCCTATAACCATCCAGCATGTTTTTCTGCACTTCATCTTTGGCCACATAGGACCCCCCATCCTTTATTCGAATTCCTGTTTTCAAATAGTTGAAATGACGTCCGTACAACTTGAAAAATTCTATTAAAAGGACACCATAGTTGGCATTGGGGTTGCAAGCATCTTCTCTGGGATGTAGCTGGTGGAAGAAAAACCACAACAAACATTTTAAGAATACTTCTGATTTCTTTACAGTCCCTTTAAAAAGAAATTTGAAGTGGTGAAACACAGGTATGTCAGTTTGACAGCTACAAGCTAAAAGMATCAATTGACTCATTCCCTGTTATCAAACTRTGGAAGATCTTGGGAGTTAAAATCAAGCTCACAACAATAAAARGCTGGAGACAAGTGGTTTTTTCCTTCTTTCCACAATCCTAAAAAGACAGTTCTAAAGTTTTCCTGCACAAACCTCCTGTATATATTAGCCCCAACTTCCATTTGCCTCCTAGTGGCCAAATACTGTGGCCATAGGAATGTTAACTGAAGTTTCAATTTCCCTCACAAAACCAATGTCTTATTCACACTACCTTCCTCAACTGTACCCAGCCACCCTTTCCCCCACCTCCCTTCTTTATGGCAGAGAACCGAAGCAGCCAATTTCAGGCTAATACAGTGATCCTGACACCAGTAATGCAGGCAATACAAAATTCTTCAAACCTTTAAACCAAATCTTTCCCACCCCTGGACAAAATTACAGTTACAGCATGAGTTTTATCATTTACTGTGCTACATAATAAATAAAGTTTAAAAGTCCACTCAGAGGACAATTTCAGAACATACCTGGAGGAAGCTGACAGCCATTAAAAAAAGACTATAAGATCCAATTCCACCTGTGAATACTTCATTGAGGTCCCTCTGTAATAAGAACTGTTTCAGTACTAAAACTAGATATGGCAATACAGGATATTTCTGCAAGAGAAAAAGATACAAGAATAACATTTTACAAATTCCACTTCTCACATGAAACATATAAGTGTGTGGTTTTCTATTATTGCCGTAATGCTCACCTTTTTTGGCTAAATTACCTCCCAAAATTAGGGTGCGCATTAGATTCGCATAACACATCAATCTTAGTGCTGAGACAAAGGTATGACTGTGTTTTAGAATTTTTAATTTTTTTAATTTTATCGATTGAAGTTGTCCATTGTTTGTACTCAGTCAAATTATATATTATTTTGGTGATACAGTGTTCCCTCACTTATCACGGSTGTTACGTTCCAGGACCACCCGCAATAAGTGAAAATCCGTGAAGTACGGATGCTATATATACACATACATACAGTATATATATATTTACAATCTCAAGCTTGACGCCTCTCCCACCTTTCTTTCCCTGCATYCTGGTCCTCCCTCCTGACCCCRGCACYCTCTCTCTTTCACTCACAGCCTTCTTCTTCCAGGCCAGCCTCCTCCAGAGGTGTTGGGACTCAGCCTGTGATTGAACCTGAGCCTGTGCTTGAACCTGTGAATGTGTTTCAGTCTCCTGATGTTTCTGTGTATGATGTGAGTAATGAGGAGGGAAGRCAGTCCCCTGTTGCTTCTGATATGGGGGATGCTGGGACTGACTCDGAGYTGCAAYATGGAGACACTTTGGTCAATGAGTTTCATGCAGACACTGACAGAGAGGAGCACGCAGTGCAAAGGGCAGATTCTCATGAGAATACTTCTGTCAGGCCTTAGGAGAAAGGTTTACTCCCTTTGTCTGTGAGCTTTCCAGATTCTAGTTTGGAAAACAGTCTGACACCTGTTAAAGTTAATGAGGAGTCAGATAAGCAGAGTCGGCGGCTGGAGATTAGCCAGAATCGACAAGAGGCCCAATGTTTACGTAGATCCGAAAGAATTCGTCAATTAAAGTCAAAGTCTGGGGGAAAGCGAAACCAGTTTTTGGGATTTAAGGTTTGTCTGTAGAAAATCTTGTCAGATCAGGCATCGTTTGGAAACCAAGTATAAGCCTCATGGAATCCCTGTTCAAGTGGTCTCGTCTTCATGGATTTTTCTAACTTTTTAAGGTGACTAGCAGCGTCTGTTCTGTTCTTGTTTGATTCCTGTCTGGATATCATTGCCTTAGATTATAATTTCATGTTTTTTTGGACATTGTTTTTGATTGCTACATTTAGACACTGTTTTATCTGGCTGCCTTTGAATGCCTTATTGCTTTTTGGAACCTTATCTATCTTTACAAATATTTATTTCTACTGGCTATTTTGCTAAGCTTTAATAAAAAGGATTGTTCCTTTACTCAATGTGTGGTGTGTTTATAGTCAGAGGGGCTAGTTCCTGTTCTGGAGTGCAACAAAAGGTGGGGCAGGACGCAGGGGCAGTGGCAGCAAAGGGGTCACCAAGACAGGGCCATGGCTGCCTTGCGCTGCTCCTCGCTCAGGCCCAGCACCACTATGGCAGTACCAGCAGCAGTTGGAAAGCCTGCTTGACCCAGATGGGGAAGCCCAGGCCTGGGGTGACACAAGGGAGCCTGGCAAGAAGTTCTCCTCCTGCTGCTGCTCCTATTCCTTCTCTTCTCTGAGGTACCATAGGAAAATGTGGGAAGAGCAAGGCCTCGTCAGGGAAGGAAGAGGAGGAGGTATCAACACTGGAGAAACAATGGGTATGCAGTGTTCCCTCACTACTTGTATATTTTAAATTCATTTAAAAAAAAAATCCCGAAACAGCGAGTCCGCAGAAAGCGAACCGCAATGTAGCGAGGGAACACTGTATGTAATTTTATTTTATGTGTGGCACCTTGCGTGCTTTGTTAGCCACCCCGAGTCCCTTCGGGGAGATGGTGGTGGGGTACAAATAAAGTTTTATTATTATTATATTATGGTCAAGTGGTCTCTGATCAAAGTGGTCCCTGGTCAATAAAAGGTTATGAACTACTGACTTAAACCCTACAAGGGATGCAGAGTTTGTTGCTCTCATACTGACTTATGATCTTGAGACAACAGAAGAGCATTATTGGTGGGTACTTCCTACTCTCAATCTGAGGTCCCAGTTTGGCATCAGAGTCGCGCTGCAGGACATAGAGATTCCTAGAGAGGTATTCTCTAAGGTAAAAAAGTAGAATTTTCCCTTATATGTGGGTGTCTTGCATCTCTAACTCCCAGAAAAGTGGAGAGCCTGCTGTACTTTGTTTCTTGCTTTCATGTATTTTGCAATTTTACCTGCCTGTTAAAACTCCCTTGAAATTTGTGGTACACTAATCGATTGCTAATGTGCAATTATGTGATACACTGAAGGGCAAAGACTGCTTGCATGAACTGGGCAAGCGCCAACTCTGAAAAACGATCACTGTGGAAAACTGTTCAAAAAACCTCATTTAACACTGCTGAGCGTATGCACAAATGCAGGCATGGCCTCTGGTGCCCTCTACTGGGACCAATTAAAAATAAAGACAATGGGGGAATGGTCCTCATTAGTCTCCGTGGTTTTACTTACCTATCCAGAGCCCACCACTGACTTGATTATTCTATAATGCACTTTCCTGGCAATTGTCAACAGGTTCGCGTTCTTCTGTTCCCAGAAGAGAGAGGTATCTGAGAAGACTTTCCCCACTTCATTTACTCTCAAAGGATCCTATTTCAAAACACTATCTCTCACCAAAGTACAAGCTGCTCTTGGTCTACAACAAAATTTTCTGTGTTAGGATAAGAAAAGTTTATCACAAACCTTAATAAAATCTCTGATGAGATCAGCAGCTTTTACACCATTCTGTACATTGAAGCTGATATTAACTTTGACTTCAGTAAAGGAATCAGTGAGCTTAATTATAGGAACCTGTGGAAAGAAGGAAAGACACATTGTGTTGTCAAAAACTTTCATGGCCAGAATCATTGGGTCCCTGTGAGTATTCTGGGTTTTATAGCCATGTTTCAGAAGCATTCTCTCCTGACATTTTGCCCACATCTGTGTCAGCATTCTCAGAGGTTGTGAAGTTAGGCGGAAACTAGGCAAGTGGGGTTTATATATATGTGGAATGTCCAGGGTGGGAGAAAGAACTCTTGTCTGTTTGAGCCAAGTGTGAATGTTGCAATTGATCACCTTGATTAGCACTGGATAGCCTTGCAACTTTAAGGCTTGGCTGCTTCCTGCATGGGGGAATCCTTTGTTGGGTGGTGTTTTTTTTTTTGTCATGTCAGGAGCGACTTGAGAAACTGCAAGTTGCTTCTGTTGTGAGAGAATTGGCCGTCTGCAAGGACATTGCCCAGGGAACGCCCAGATGTTTGATGTGTTACCATCCTTGTTGGAGGCTTCTCTCATGTCCCCGCATGATGTGTTGAAGCTAATAGAGGGAGCTCATCTGTGCTCTCCCAGGATTCGAACCTGCAACCTTTCGGTCTTCAGTCCTGCCGGCACCCACTGCACCTTGTTGGGAGGTGATTAGCTGGCTCTGTCTGTTTCTTGTCTGGAATTACCTTGTTTTTTGTGAGTTCTTCTTTACATACTGTCCTGATTCTAGAGTTTTTAAATGCTGGTTGCCAGATTTGTTCATTTCCATGATTTCCTCCTTTCTGCTGAAATTGTCTACATGCTGCTTGTGAATTTCAGTGGCTTCTCTGCATAGTTTAACATGGTGGTTGTGAGAGTGGTCCAGCATTTCTGTGTTCTCAAATAATATGCTTTGTCCAGGTTGGTTCATCAGGTGCTCTGCTATGGCTGACTTCTCTGGTTGAAGTTGTCTGCAGTGCCTTTCATGTTCCTTGATTCATGTTTGGGTGTTGCGTTTGGTGTGGTCTATGCAAATTGTCCACAGCTGCATGATATATAGTAAACTCCTGCAAAGGTGAGAGGATTGCTCTTGTTTGCTGAACGTAGCGTTTGTTGCATTTTCTTAGTGGGTCTGTAGATAGTTTGTAGGTTGTGTTTTTTTATCAGCTTCCTGTCAGTGGTTCAAAAACAAAGGAATTCCAGACAAGAAATAATCACCTCCCAACAAAGGATTTCCCCAAGCAGGAAGGAGCCAAACCTTGAAGTTGCAAGGCTATTCAATGCTAACCATAGAATCCTAGAGTTGGAAAAGACCTCATGGGCCATCCAGTCTAACCCCATTCTGCCAAGAAGCAGGAAAATTGCATTCAAAGCACCCCCGACAGATGGCCATCCAGCCTCTGCTTAAAAGCCTCCAAAGAAGGAGCCTCCACCACACTCCAGAGCAGAGAGTTCCACTGCCGAACAGCTCTCACAATCAGAAAGTTCTTCCTAATGTTCAGATGGAATCTCCTTTCTTGTAGTTTGAAGCCATTGTTCCGCGTCCTAGTCTCCAGGGAAGCAGAAAACATGTTTGCTTCCTCCTCCCTATGACTTCCTCTCACGTATTTATACATGGCTGTCATGTCTCCTCTCAGCCTTCTCTTCTGAAGGCTAAACATGCCCAGCTCTTTAAGCCGCTCCTCATAGGGCTTGTTCTCCAGACCCTTGATCATTTTAGTCACCCTCCTCTGGACACATTCCAGATTGTCAATATCTCTCTTCAATTGTGGTGCCCAGAATTGGACACAATATTCCAGGTGTGGTCTAATCAAGGCAGAATAGAGAATGGGTAGCATGTCTTCCCTGGATCTAGACACTAAACTCCTATTTATGTAGGCCAAAATCCCATTGGCTTTTTTTGTATCACATTGTTGGCTCATGTTTAACTTGTTGTCCACAAGGACCCCAAGATCTTTTTCACACATACTGCTCTCAAGCCACGTGTCCCCCATTCTGTATCTCTGCAAGGTGATCAATTGCAACATTCACACTTGCCTCAAACAGACAAGAGTTCTTTTGCCCACCCTGGACATTCCATAGATACTTAAACTCCACTTGCCTAGTTTCCAACAAACCTCACAACCTCTGAGGATGCCTGCCATAGATGTGGGTGAAATGTCAGGACAGAATGCTTTTGGAACATGGCCAGACAGCCCAGAAAATTCACAGCAACCCAGAAAAACACAATGATTTCAAAGAATTTTGCTTTTTTGTTCTGTATATTCTTAGTCCATTACGGCCCTTACTTAAAATGAAACAAAACTATTTTCACAGAACTTAACCATCTGCTGTTAATAAGAAGTTTTACATAGCACTTGATGGGTAATACATACCTAGCATTACAAGCATAAAGCAATTTGTTTTACTCCTGTACTGACAGCAGGGGGAGATAGACAGCCAAAGAATAAAAACTAGTTTTTGGAAAAGGACTTTAATTCTTAAAGAAAATTAGAGATGCACTTCACAAAATTGAAAATGTACTTTGAAATAAAATTCTGTTCTAAGGAACTGAAAGAGGACATGAATATTATAAATGCATAACGACTCGTTTACGAATCATATTCAAATCTTTGCATTCCAATCCATCAAGGATTCAAAACACATTTTTGAACCAAAAGAACTTGCTTACTACAACCAAAGCTCCAAAGAACCCCATAAAACGAACATATATACTTGCATAGAAGTTGATCTTGGGTATACGTTGAGGGCAGGTTAGAGGCCAAATGTATGGATTTCGATATGATGTATGGATTGAGGGTAATTCCACAAAGAGGGGAAAGCACCAGCTTTCACTGTCATGTTTCTACTCTGGCATTTTAAAAGCCCTTTTGTCACTTAACACAAGTTACAGTACAGAAGAAACTCTTGTAAAAAAAGAAACCATTCTCCTCTCTGAGCCAAATGCTGAAAGGTGGGAGTTTAGTCCATCCTGGACGAACCTAAAAGAGCATCAACTTTATCTACTCTTCTCAGTTCTCCTTTGAAGGGAAGCAACAAAGAGCCTTTTCCCACCCAGGCATTCAAAAAAGTCAGAGGTGATGCAAAGGTAGAGAGAGGAGAAAGGATTGGTGCTTTGAGACTAAGCGATCACCTTTCACTGCTCTCCTCAAAGAAGAGGATGGATCCTTTCTAGATAAGAGTTAAAGTACAGAACTTACACTAATCTATGGATATGTCAACACAGGTTTTCTGGATCAATTTGTTGACTAAAATTTCTAGATTTATACATAACTGTATATATAATATATTGCTTTGACAAGACATGTTGAAGGTAGACTTTGAACAGAAACTTACCATCCCCAACCCTGTAACTCAAATTCTCTCTGCTGCGAAGTTATTTGCAAAACAACGATGATCCCTACACTACGTACAACACCCAGAGCAAATTTGTAAAATATGAGACTATACAGAAGATCTGAATAGGAAAGATAATAATATTGAGGATTGTTTTGATGGTGAGTGAATTAGAACCAGACATCCAGAGGAGTGAGGTTGAATGGGCCTTAAGAAGCATTGCTAATATCAAGGCAGCAAGAGACGATGTGATCCCAGCTGAACTGTATAAAATCTTGAAAGAGGATGATGTCAAGGTGATGCATGCCACATGTCAGCAAATATGGAAAACACAAGAATGGCCATCAGATTGAAAAAAAGCACTTATTTCACATGCCAGTAAGGTAATGCTCAAAATCCTGCAAGGTAGGACTCCAGCAATACATGGAGCAAGAGTTGCCAGATGTACAAGTTGGGTTTCAAAAAGGCAGAGACATGAGATGCCAAATTATCTGCTGGATAATAGAGGAAAGCAGAGAGTTTCAGAAAAAACTGTTTTAAAGCCTTTGACAGTGTGGATCATAATAAATGTTGGCAAGTTATTGGTGGTATGGGGATGTCAAGCCACCTTGTCTGTCTCCTGAGGAATCTGTATAAGGACCAAGTAGCAACAGTAAGAARGGACCATGGAACAACAGACTGGTTCAAGARTGGGAAAGAAATAGGACAGGGCTGTCTACTCTCACCCYACCTATTCAACTTGTATGCAGAACACATCATGCAACGTGCAGGGCTTGATGAATCCAAGGCTGAAGTTAAAATTGCTGGAAAAAAACATTAACAACCTTAGATATGCAGATGATACCACTTGGATGGCTAAAAGCAAGGAGGGGCTGAGGAGCCTTCTAACCAAGGTGAAAGAAGAAAATGCAAAAGCTGAGTTGCAGCTAAGCATAAAAAAAAAAAAAAACCCAAGATGAKGGCAATCGGACTGACTGATAACTGGAAAATAGGGGGAGAAAACATGGAGGCAGTGACAGACTTCGTATTTCTAGGCACTAAGATGATAGCAGACACAGACTACAGCCAGGAAATCAGAAGACGTTTACTTCTTGGGAGGAGAGCAATTACTAATCTCGATAAAATAGTGAAGAGTTGAGACATCACGCTGGCAACGAAGGTCAGCATAGTCAAAGCAATGGTATTCCCCATAGTAATTTATGGATGCGAGAGCTGGACCATAAGGAAGACTGAGCAAAGGAAGATAGATGTTTTTGAACTGTGGTYTTGGAGGAAAATTCTGAGAGTGCCTTGGACCACAAGAAGATCAACCCAGTCCATACTCAAGGAAATAATGCCTGACTGCTCATTGGAGGGAAGGATATTAGAGGCAAAGATAAAGTACTGTGACCACATAATGAGAAGATAGAAAAACTTGGACAAGGCAATGATGCTGGGAAAAATTGAAGGAAAAAGGAAGAGGGGATGACCAGGGGCAAGATGGATYGATGGATGGTATCCTTGAAGTGACTGGCTTGACCTTGAAGGAGCTGGGGGTGGCGACAGGAAACAGGGAGCTCTACTGTAGCCTGGTCCATGAGGTCATGAAGAGTTGGAAGCGACTGAACGAATAAACAATAACAGCATGATAAGTGAAGGATGTGTAGTTTGCTGGGTATAAGAAGCACATTGCCTGATGCTCAACTGATTGCAGAGGAAATGGCTACATAAACGATGGAACTTCGCTCCGCAGGTGCAGTGGCATGTCGCCTGGCAGGAGAAAGCTTCAGTTCTCTGTTTTGTTCATCCCAAACAAAGCCAAGGACAAACTGGATTGCTTCTTTGGTAACAAGGTATGATAAATGATTTGCGACAATCGTGTATCTGGAAAGTGGCTCTAGTGGTCCCTCTGGAGAGAGGGGAGGTCTCAATCTTCTTTGTCTCTCCTTCATCAATGTTACTATTGCAAGGATTTGCTGGTGATGTCTTTCAGCAAGCTATTCAACACATTTCTTCTGCTTGGAAAGTGGTTTGCTATCAGAGGAAGGATATATAAATCTTCCATGACCATAAATGAGTTGGAGACATATGTGTCATTTCACTGTTAGGGCAGAAGGGATCATGAATATTCGCAGAAGCCCAATCCTACTCGGTGCCTCCATTGGAGGCTTCCAATTCATTCATATATCCGTTACTCCTTTCAACATGTATACAGGATCAGAGCAGGAGTGGCAGCCAAAAAATATTGACAGATTTAACAAATACAGGCAGTCCCCAAGTTACAAACATCTCTGACTTGACAAATACAGGCAATCTTCAAGTTACAAATACCTGACTTTCAGATGACTCCTAGTTAAGAACAGGTTGAAGACAACAGGAAGTGAAAGAAAGCTACCCCTTGGAAGGGAAATTCACTCTTGAAAGGATCATCACGGGGAAAAGTGTCTTAACTGAAGCTTTAGCACCAATTCTTTCTTCCACAACAAGACACACTTTTCAAATTCCAAGTTCACAGGGACAGAAAATGAGGCGAGATCTTCTGAACAGGGGGCACAGTTAGCAAAACAAACTCCACAGAGGTGTAACCCCTTCCCGGTGTTTAAAAATACACCTGTTCCTACTTGCATACAAATTCAACTTAATTTCTACAGATCCTATCTTGTTCATGACTTGGGGACAGTCTATAGTGCTTGGTAACAAATACACTTTTCAGGATGTCAAAATCTGGTTCAACAAAGAATAGGAAGAAGAAGAAATAACTTACAGTCGCTTTGTCTAGCACCTTTACTGAACCTTTATCTGCTACATTGTGCTTTCGGAGAGCTTCTTCCAGAGTCCACAGAGGCAACGTCTCCCATTTTCCAAACACAACTAAGTCAATATCACTGAAATTATAAAGCAKTCAATCAAAAAATTGTACTTTTTAAACATGTCACAACGATCAYGTTAACATCCTGTTTATTAAAGAGGTGGAAACAAAATGCGTTAATGATAATTTATAAGTCTCTTTGCTTTCTGGATCTCAATCAAGACAACACAAACTTTGAAACTGCTAATTCATTTCACTATTATGCTATTTTTATAGCCAATCCTGATTTTGCAACCACCACTGCAGAAAATTGCAGGCAACACATGTAGACCAGAAAATGTACAGAAAACTAAAAAATCAGAAAGTCATAAACATATGAAATATATGTACTTGTGTGTGTTAAATTGGATCAATGTATGAAAAATTAGTTCTGGGGGGAAGGAGTTTGCATTTTGCAAGCTCCTGCACCTCTAAACCCTACAAATGTGAAGGTCTGGCTATATTGCATTATTTCTTTGAATAAAATTATGAAAAATAGAAACTTTACTCCTAATCAGAAAGGGATAATAGAACCAGCAACTGAGATCCAAAGATTCTTCTGAGCACATTGGGCCTATTAAGTTTACATTCCTGTGTGAACAGAAGTGCTATTTAGCACTCAAGAGTGAATTTTCCCAGTTATTTATTTGTAATGCACAGTGGAATTATTTCTGTTCTGAGAATATAAATAAATGAAGTAAAAATCAATGCATAAAGTCAACTTCAACACCAGAAAGGTGGAATAAAATGTATTCAACCTTTAGGCCCAAGAGAAGATAGAAATGTAATAATTAAGTCACTACTCACCTAGTAGGTAAATATAAGCCAGTCTTAAAACTTCCAAATATTTGCACCTGGAAAAAATCCCAAACAGAAAGTGAGGTGAGATCAAACAAGCAGAAAGTTAAAAGCTTTCACCAAAAATACATGGAATAAACATGTAACAGATATTGTTACTGCCCTCAACTGGTAGCATTTGGAAAATATAACACTGTACAGCAATCTGATTATTATCTCACACAATCACCAATTTCAATTCCTAAAAGGTTAATCCTTCCAAAAAGAGTCTTTGGCAAAGAGTATCCATCAATTATAATTTTAACATTCTAAAATGTAAAAATGGTCAAAACTGGATCAGTTTCATCTATGCTGACGATCAAGAAGGGAGCTTTGAAATGGTTGAACAGAAGCTCTCCAAAGCTTTAGGTATTCTTACTGCCTATTACAGGGAAAGCCAGCTGACTCCTAATTTATCTAAAATGCAGACATGTGCTTTCCATCTTAAGAACAGACAAGATTCTCGAGCTCTGAGGATTACCTGGGAAGGAATCCCACTGGAGCATTGCTGGACACCCAAACACCTGGGAGTCACTCTGGACCATGCTTATAAGAAGCATGCAGAATCCAAAAGCTTGTTTACAGAATATGAGGTGGCAGCAATGTTTGAATTGTCAAATTTAGTTGGGATGCTATGAGAAATCGGCATTGGCAACGAGGAAGCGGATTGCTCCGATTCTCCTCCTGTGAGCTAGTCAAAAGGTTTGCTATAATTTTTTAGACCAGCAAGCAATTAGCTGAGTTTTTCAAACAGTTTTTACAGTAGGCAGCAACTGAGCTCAGGCAAAAGCAACTGCTATTCAGTTGCCTAATTTTGCTTACTTAGTTTGTACATTGCCCTTTTTCAAATCCCTACAGTTACAGAACATGGTTCCAAAGCTCGCCGCAGCCAAAACCCACCCTCATGTTTGCTTTAACGTTATTCTGGGGAGTTTCCAAGTCTCTCCCCTCTCAGAGGGGCAGTCAAGAGGACTGTAAACTACAAGGAGTGAAGGAAAATTCAAGAACTGTTACGGAACAGGTGTAAAATAAAAGCCCACCGTGCTTTTATTTTATTTCTTCATCACGTTATTTTGCATCTGTTTATTGCATTTTCTGTTATTTTATGTATTTTGTTTTGATGTTATTATTTGCTGTTTGTATTTTATTTTATTGTACTGTAATTCTGGGCTTAGCCTCATGTTAGCTGCCCCAAGTCCCCTTTGGGGAGATGGTAGCAGGGTATAAATAAGGTTTATTATTATTATTATAGACCTACATCCTCCTTTCATTCTTATAACATTTTAGTCTTGAGAAGTGATCGACATCCTTCCATTCATCAGTGGTTTTAGTTATTCTCAAGCAGTTACCACTATCCCCAATATTATTGAAATTCCATAACCAATTGGAAATAACTGCACCATAACCTTATTGAAAAGATAAAAATGGATGTAACATCCATTTGGCAAATGAACATGTGGAGACCACTTTTTGAATACCACTTGTCAAGAAAAGAATGATCTTGTTAGAAGTCAACTCTTTGAACAAATGATATTCATAAACATTAATGTAATGGCACACAGGTAACTCAGCTGTTAGACTTAAGAACCATGTCTTTAAACTGCCTAGGACAAAGACATGCCACTACATAAATATATTTGGTTAGCAGAGGATGGTTGTTTCTTTGAGGTTGAATCTGCAATTGCCCAAAAGATATACACTCTCTTGAAACCTCTCAGTTTAAAATATGCACTCAGAGATAAAAACCAAGTCTTCTTTGAAAAATAATACATCTTGTTTACTCACAAACTTCTTGTATTAATTCACCATACAGACACATTTCTTGTTAAAGTTCAGTTAGATAGGATGTAGTTCTCTGTGTTGAGTACACAGGGTATAATTCTTAATAGTCCATAGTCTTTTAAGTACAGCTGTACTCACTGAAGTCCGTAATTCATACTTCTGTACTAAAGTCCAAACAGCAACATGCATCCACCTCCACTAAGGTCTAACCCTCGTATGTACAGGTGACACATTCCTGAACTTACTGTGGAAACAGCGCATAATAATGAACCCTACTGAACTGAACAACTTGCACAGGAAGTTACCATAGGGATATACTGGAGGACCTAGAAATCCTACAAAGGTATCTCCTCCAGGAATTTTCGAGATCCTCGAGAGAACCTCTATGGTAGTTTCCAGTGGAAGCTATCAGATTGCTAGAGAGGACATATTTTCTAGAGAAATCACAGGATGTGGAATAGATAAAACTGTGGGTATTGGGTTGTACTGTATTGACTTTAAAGGGTAAATGTGAAAGCAGTGAAAATAAGTACTAAAATTATAAAATGTAATGCAAATAGAACTTTCATTTCAAGATTTCAATGTTTTACTTTTAACTAATAATGCACATATCCTGTATACTCATGTATAAGTCTAGATATTTTAGTAAAAAAGATCAACCCCAAACCCCTGGATTGACCTATCTAGGGGTCAATGTGAGCACTGATCCGTAATTCTGGCCCCATACCTTGCCCTAACTCATAAATGCATATATATGATACATCTGAAGCCATACAGTACCATAACATTACTCACCCACCCACCCTAACCCCAATCCCCAAAGTGTGTTTAATCTTACATCTGCATTAGGCCAGAGTTCCTTTATGACATTTTCTATCCTATTCACCACCTCCATTCGCATCCGCTCCTCTTCGGGTCTGGGAGACATGTACTTGTAGAAGTCATTGATCTCTTCATGGAGACTGGAAAAAAAGGAGAGTGATGAGTTAGACAAGCTGTGTAACAATATGAGAAAAAGGCTTTGAACACTGTGGTATTATGCAGAAAGACGTCCAACCAAACTTCACAGTATTCCCACAAATCAGTCATGAAAACATCCATTTTCAATATATCATTTCCTAGCAGCAAGTCAAACATTGGCTGTGTTCCACATAATTATAACACTAATGGTGGAGATATAGAAATATTCCTTTATGGCACAAACAGTAGCTTGGAAAAGTACCAAGTTCAATAAAGTATTCATGGCTACCGAAAGATTATTGGGACCTTCCCACTCTATGGGTATGAAAGAAGTGTTGAAGAAGGTATACCTTTGATTTTGTATTGTTTCCTTAAATTAAAAAATTACTAGCCTTAATAACACTTTAGTGTTATCTATTCCTCCAAATTAATAACACTTTAATGTAAATCTATTCCTCCAAACCAAGGTAAAGACTCCCTAAATCAGCAGTTCTCAAAGTGTGAGGCTTTGCAGTTCCCTTTTCCCTCTCCAAGCTTCCCCTCATCTTTCCTGTTCCTCCCTTTCCCCGGCCTTCCTCACCCCCAAAATACCCTTTACCTCAACTCCCTCGGACCCAAAAGCCTCCCCCTTCCCACCCCCCCGTGCTGCCCAGATCCTTCTCATTTTGCTTGATTCCAAAACCCCTTTTCCCTCCTACCACTCAGACGGTACTTTCAGTGTGCTTTTGCTGCATGGCAAAAAAGGGTTGGGCTGGATGGCCCCTGGAGGGTGCTTTGATTGTGCATTGATCTCCTAAGATCCCATTATATGAATGTACCTGATCTATATTGAACTATATTGAAATTGCATGTTGGTGAGTGCAAGACATTCCAGAAAGTGAACTGAAAAACCTTCCACAAGAGTCCTCAGCACACAAACCAAGGTGATTTGCTAGCAAGAAAGGTCTTTTTCCATATCTATATTTATTTATTTACAGTCTTTAAATACCGCTCTTCTCACCCCTAGGGGGATTCAAAGCGGTTTACACATAGATAATGGCAAAAATTCAATGCCTTACAACTACAGTAGTAAAACCACACTTTAAACATAAATCATATTAAAAACAGTACATCATCAAATATCAAAACAGTTATTAAACCATAAAACAATCTCATCAGTCGAGTCGCCGTTCCAGTCCTTGTCCCACTAAAAGCTGCATACCTCTATTGTTAGAAGGCCTGGTCTCAGAACCATGATTAAAATATAAAATTATATAGAATTATATAAAATTATAAATTATAAAATTATATAAAAATGCTCTGTTCATATTCAGTGAAATTCCTAACTCAAAAATCGCTGGACTAATTGCCACCAAATTTGGCCATGAGACACCTAATAACCCAAGGGGTAACCATCACTCAAAAAATGATTTTGTCATTTGGGAGTTGTAGTTGCTGGGATTTATAGTTAACCTGCAATCAATGAGGATTCTGAACTCCACTAATGATGGAGTTGAAACAAACTTGGCACACAGGACTCTCATGACCAACAGAAAACACTAAAAGGGTTTGATGGGAATTGATCTTGAGTTTTGGAGTTGTAGTTCACCTACATCCAGAGAGCACTGTGGACTCAAACGATGAAAGATCTGGACTAAACATGGCACAAATACTCCATATGCCCAAATATGAACACAGATGGAGTTTGAGGGAAATAGACCTTGACATTTGGGAGTTGTAGTTTGTGGGATTTATAGTTCTCATTGCTTTATTTTCCAGATCACCAGACTGGGCCACAGCAATGCGTGTAAGGGGACAGTTAGTTTTGTATAAAAACACTCACTGGCTGTTGACAAAATGAATGATGTTCTCCACCCCTTTTCTGTCAGGTCCCATCATTCTAGGAATAGTATTATGCACCAGGACCACACTTATTTATTGGTTTGCTATCTCTCTCTCTCTCTCTCTGTCTCTCGTGCCCTCTATCCACTTTGGTTGGGATTCAATGTTTACTTTTAAGCTCTTTTTTGTATTTATATTTGAATTATTGTATGTTTACTTTTAAGCTGTTTATTGTATTTCTATTTGAATTACTTCTAAGCTTGTTACTGTATTTATCTTCGAATTATTATATTATGTTTATTATTGTACGTTTAAATTGATATGTTAATTGTTTAAATTGATATGTTATGTTTATTATTATATGTGTAATGCGGCATTGTATGCCATGGATTGTAAGTCACCCTGAGTGGGGTGAGAAGTCACCCTGAATGGGGTGAGAAGGGTGGGGTATAAATGTAGTATAATAATAATAATAATAATAATAATAATAATAATAATATAAGAGTGTTATACCATAAAGGTTTTGAGTGGAAAGAGAAAGTACTCTAATGCAGAATTTAAATCAAACAACTCCCCAGATTCAAACTAACATCACTCAAATGTCTAAAGCCACCCAGCAAAAAAACCTAATCATTTCATACTCTAGTAAATGTCACAAGCCTGTCAGCAACAGCCAGTAATTGCTGCTACAAAAAAGTACAGTACAAAAAAGGTTGTATATGAAAATTTGATTTCCATCTAAGATATATAAAATGCTGAGAAAACATGACAAACACATTCTGATAATTACGTCATAAAATTTGGGGGAAAAAATGATTCAAGAGCCAAACTAATTGAATTGAATTGGAGCCTGGAAGCTGCTTGACTGTATGTTGCAGGATACGGCTTTTAGGTTTGATTCAGACAATATGCATCTAACACAGCCAGAGTAACTCTGTCCAGATGTATAACTGAAATCGTTCTCTAAGTCTTGATGTAGGGTGGAGGAGGACAGAAATGGATGGTGCTAATAGCAAACAAGAAACTGAACGAGTGCATTTAAAATCCACAACTTTGTACTTGGAAGGCAAAATTCCTAGGGCTCAGCAAAAACAGGTGAAACAGGCAAATGGATATTGCCTACCAATCTGCCCTGTTCATAGTTAGGAGGGTGGTGGATGAAGTGCCTATTTGTGTGTGTGTGTGTGTGTGTGTCTATCTATATCTATCTATCTATCTATCTATCTATCATCCATCCATCCATCCATCCATCCATCCATCCATCCATCCATCTATGTCAGGAGTGATTTGAGAAACTGCAAGTCGCTTCTGGTGTGAGAGAATTGGCCATCTGCAAGGACATTGCCCAGGGGATGCCCAGATGTTTTACCATCCCATGGTAGGCTTCTCTCATGTACCTACATGAGAAGCTGGAGCTGACAGACAGGAGCTCACCCCGCACCCTGGATTCGAACTGCTGACCTTTCGGTCAGTGGTCCTGCCGGCACAAGGATTTAACCCAGTGGTTATCAACCTAATGTCGTGATCCCTTCATACAGTTCCTCATGTTGTGGTGACCCACAACCATAACATTATTTTCGTTGCTACTTTATAACTATTAATTTTGCTTCTGTTATCAATCGTAATGTAAATATCTGATAGGCAGGATGAATTTTCATTCACTGGACCAAATTTGGCACAAATACCCGATATGCCCAAATTTGAATACTGGTGGGGTTGGAGGGGATTTATTTTGTCGGTTGGGAGTTGTAGTTACTGGATTGAACTATACTGATCATTCTCAACTTCACCCACCCCATTCTGACAACAAAAAGTGCCCTTTATTTGTTTAAAGTTGCTAAAAGGAGATCGGATTGGGGTGCAGTGTAGGGGAGACGAGGATAGTTGATGTATATATCTACGGCTAAGCTACATAGGTTTCAAGCCGACAAATACTTGTATATTTGTATTTTAAGAGCTCTAGATGTATGTTGTATGTTGTGTTTGCACTGCCTATTTTGATAAGGCCAACTGGATATTCAATAAAATTGTTTGAGTACAATGGAACTGAACCAAATTTGGCACACAGAACTCCTGTGACCAACAGAAAATACTGGAAGGGTTTGGTGGGCATTGCCCTTGAGTTTTGGAGTTGTAGCTCACCTGCATCCTGAGAGCTCTGTGGACTCAAACAATGATGGATCTGGACCAAACTTGGCACGAATACTCAATACGCTCAAATGTGAACACTGGTGGAGTTTGGGGGAAATAGAGCTTGACATTTGGGAGTTGTAGTTGCTGTGATTTATAGTTCACCTACCATCAAAGAACATTTTGAACCCCACCGACGATAGAAATGGGCCAAACTTTCCACACAGAACCCCCATGATCAACAGAAAATACTGTGTTTTCTGATGGTCTTTGGCAACCCCTCTGACACTCCTCGTGACTCTCCCAGGGGTCCCGACCCCAAGGTTGAGAAACACTGGTTTAACCTACTGCAACACCACGACAAAGAATGTGTGGAGGAGCTAAATCCTCTTCCTCCACTCCTTTGCCATCTTATGCAATTCAGCATCCTCAAAACATGAATGGCCTCAGAAATGCAGAAAAGGTTCCATGATAGCAGATAACCCAGCAAGAGAATGTAAGGAGCCACTGCTTCAAAATCCCAATTTCTGACAGCTACCATGGATAAACACTTGTGTATGTATATATTTGTTGTCAAAGACTTTCATGTCCAGAATCACCAGGTTGCTGTGAGTTTTCTGGGCTGTCTGGCTATGTTCCAGAAGCATTCTCTCCTGACGTTTCACCAACATCTATGGTAGGCATCCTCAACCTCTGATGATGCTTGCCATAGACATGGGAGAAACGTCAGGAGAGAATGCTTCTGCAACATTGCCATACAACCCGGAAAACTCACAGCAATCCATTTATTTATTTGTTTTTGCACCAACCTCAACGAATTTCCCTAGCTCATCCAATCCTGACTAAAGAAAAAAAAACACAACAGCAATTTTAGACTATGTACACAAGTAAGATTTTAGAAATTCAACTATTATTAACAACCCCTCTTTTGATAGAATTCCATAAAGTTTCTCACTCTGTCTTCAGTACAATGTGATCTCTTTTAGAGTGAAACAGTTTACTACATTTTACCACATCCATTAAAAGACATGCTGGGGAGGGGAGGGGGGCG